TAATCTTCAAATTTATCGAAGAATATATAAATAAAAAAATAAGGAGAAACAGAGAGAAGGGAAAGAAAATTAGAATACCTTTTGCATAATATATACATCTTGTACATACATTTATACACAGATTTCAACATCAATTAGCATTATATATATACGTCTGGGCATTGTTTTCATTGCAATCTCTTCAATTATTTCAAACGCTTAATATTGTCGTACGTAGAGATAATCGATTTGCTTGAAAAGCACACCATATTCGAGTTATCGTTCTCTGATGATTCTGTTTCAGTTTCCAATTTTCTTTCTGTCGAAACTGGAACACGCTCTTCTTTCGATCGTTCATGAAGTTTCAATAAAATTCATCCAGGAACGAATGGCTAAACGAACGAATGGCTCTCTCTCTCTCTTCCTCTCTTTCTCTCTCTTTTCGCGCTCTCTTTCTCTCTCTTTCCACGCTCTCTTCCTCTCTTCCTCATCACCCGAAACAAATTACCTCTGTGTAGGCGTTCGAACTACCAAAAGCTATTACGCGGCGGTGGAAATTTCCGACGAAATGTAGACCTAAACGGCTCGATTCCGCAGATAGGAGGGAGACAGTCAGCCAACCATCCACTGGATCGTCAGAACTCGCACGCTTAACGAAGCGGTACGGATCTCGTCTTCACGATGATGAGAATATTGGATCAAAGCAGTACGAAGTTTCGAGACATCGGGACAATCGATAAAATATATAATTACTATAAGAATAATTTTATGATGTATATTGATGTTTGTATGTTTCAGAGAGAAAATGAGAAATATCGAATTTCTCTAGTAATTCTATACGATATTGCATACATATGTTATCATAAATCGCAATGTGTTGAAAATTTAATTATCAATTATCTTTTCATTATCAATAATCAAAATTAAATAAATAAATTACTAAATGTCAAATATAAATATAATATAAATTTTTATAGTACCGACAAATAAATAATTTTTAATAATAATGATACATGTATTATAAAATATTACGTTAGTAATAAAAATATATTAATCATACATGAAACATTATATTAAATGATATTGATTTAAATCAATATTATTAATAAAAATATTTTTTAAATAAATATATTTACTTTAAAAAGATATTTTTTATATTTTTAATTTCTGATATTTATATATTCCATGAATATTATGTTTATGTATGTCTTATGTTAATAGTCTTATATTAATAATCTTTTGATCCGATTTTATAAAATCTTTTAAAGAATATCTCAAAAAATAAATAAAAAATAAATGTAAATTTTAAGTATTATTGAATTATTTGAATTTTTTTTATTTAGCATATATATATTTTATTGAACCATTTGAACTTTAACATTTCAAGTTATCAGAAATGCTTAGATTGTTGAAGTAAAAACAAAAAGATTATCGAAAACTAGTTCATTAATTTCTCGTTTGAATCATCTATTATGGATGCAAGAGAAGCAGGCCAGACCTTTTACTTTTCTGTAAACATACCTGAACGAGAAAAGTCTACTTATTGTTAAGCAAACTAAAAGAAGATTAAAAACTTGATAGATCCCGGAGCTAGTACTTGTTTCTTTTAGCATTATGAAAGAAATATGTGAATGTGTGTATTGCTGAATAAAATATTAAAAAAAAAAAGTTTTTTAATATTTTCTTATTAACTGTATTATACTTTGTTAGATGAATTGTGGTTTATTTTAATTCATTTCTATCTCCTCAAAAAAAACTCGAGAGCCATAATACTTCTATGCTTTGATTCTGATCCCGATGTTTTCCTTAAAAATCGGAAGCACGTATAACGGCAAGTGTTAGATCAGGCGGCATGAAAAGCTCTCACGTTTGTAAGAATTCTCGAAGGGGTGTTATACCAGAAGCCCTCTACAAGCACTGTTCTTTCTGACGTTTCTCGCGTGTCCAGGGATTGCGACACGATTTCGAACGGAACTAATTTATCGCGGTTTCCCGAAATCTCTCCAGTGGTGGAGATGTCTTCTAGATCTTTGAAACCGACGTGTCGCATCAGGAGTATAAACGACGTATAAACTAACGCTCAGGTACACCCTCACATTACAACATATTCGTCATTTTGTGGCATCCTTCAACATTTATATTTGATGACGTCAATCTCGATTACGCCGACAAATAGTCTGTAATACTTTTTTCTTCGTTTTGCCTTTTTTTTTGGTTTTCGTTTTTCTCCTTTACACAATATCTATAGGGTGACGTTAGTTGCACCACTGCGCTATAGAAGGATAGGTAGAGGCGCAGCTGGACGATATTAAATATTAATAATCATCTGCCGCGGAGATATGAATCTTTAACGCGATTATCCTGTTTTACGTTTTACCTCCGAGATTCGCCTACGCTTAAATTAAAAACAAACTGTGCTTTGTTTTCCCAGGATTTATGCGAGATTTATAATACTAAAATATTGCAAAGCGCGCGTCCTATTTATTGTAGTTTCTTCTACCATGTAATATAATCTGAGCAAAAAAAAATATACATTATAATCATAAATATATATATATATATATATATATATATATATATATATAATCATATACACATATATAATATATTAAATATACAGAATGAGTCAGAGAAGAAACTAGTTTCTAAGATATATTCATAAATAACGATTTTATACAAAAATATTTCAGACAATTAAATAATTTTGAAAGAGTCATATTTTGATTATCTTTTTAGATGAAGGTGCAAAAAGTCATCTTCATTTTTTAAATACTAACGAAGACCATAACTGCAGTTTCTCTGACATTTGTGACGCGCGATCGGATACAGATCGGATGCTATGATCTTTATAGAGATACGAAAACATAGGTATACGCACATGTATAGAGAGAATGGTCTTCTGCGGCCTATTTTATTTTCACTCTCGTGCCGTAGATCGTAGCTCTTTCATTGTCCCCTTTTCATCGGGCCGTCCGTAGATTCAGGTCAGCCCCGGTCATTGCTTTTGCAACAGTATACATTTCATCCCCCGCGGCCTCTTTAACTCTTCCACTATTCGACTACTTTTTCGTGAGAACTCTAGCCGGTTAAATTTATTTCCAATATATATATATATATATATATATATATATATATATATATATATATGTATGTGTGGAATTCTAGCAATAAAGTATGTAAAAATATTTTATACGTATATCGTTCGTTACCGAGTAAAAGTTACAGAATAAAACTGAATAAAAAATCAATAGTTATTAATAATACTGTATGAATGGGGATTTAGAAATCTCAATTTTTGCGAGTTAAATATTGATAGGTATATAAATTGTATTCGTCTTGAAAATATTTGAGTAAATCTTTGAAATAGATTTATTTACATATATACACAGATATTTCTTTATTATAAAATTACGCCATAAAATTGAAAACTGAATTCAGCGTTTAATAATAATAATTTGAAAATCGAATGGTGGAAAGTTAAAATTCGTAGGCGAACGTTATATGTGATTTTGAAACACTTCAATATTGACATCTTTAGTCTTGCTGGATTTACGAGAATTACCAGGAAAGAACGAGTCATGATTGGCAGTTAGCTAAGCGGCATCCTCGTTATTCCGTAGTTATTATCAATTATTATTCCCGCCCGACGTGCACGACATTCAATTTTACGAGTCATTAGATGCAGAGTTTTCCAAGCGGCCGCGTATTCTGCTCTCGCAGTTTCCGATTTAACGCTCTTTGAAATACCGAAGGAACGCAATCGATGGATACGAGAAAAGATTGCACACAGGCGTTCATGCCGATCATTTAACTATTATAATCGCCCAAATTAAAATATAAAACATAGTTCAGGCATAACGAAAATTATCTTTTTTTATTATATATTATATAAATTCTTCGATATCATTTTAAATCGGTTTTTTTTATTAAGAAAAATATTAGATTCGTCTTTTCGTTACCTTTCATCTTCTCCCACGTTTTTGATATTTTTCTTTTTTATATTTTCTCATTTATATTCTCTATTAATATATTTTTAACTAATCTCCAAAAATATGCTAAAGTAAAATCTTAAAATTACACACGAAAAAATTTGATTCCCTGTTTATATATTTCTAGAGTCTGAGTTTTTGTAAAATTTCTCTTACTTTTAATAACTTATCAGAGTTATCAATGCCTTTTTTGTCGCATCTACTTTTAATTTGTTATAGAAATTCACAGATAAAAAATGTGCACCGATATCTTGATAATTTACATATTCTCGAAAATGACAACTTAATTTGAAAAACAGATCGATACAAAGAGCTTATCAATTGCCTGTTAAACCTACGTAAAACAACAATTCGAGAGTTTTCGAGAGAATCCTGATATTGGATCGCAATTTCACATTTCAATCAATGACGAATTAATTACGGCTCTCTGGAATTAATATACGCATATACACTCGCACACAGTAACCAGACGGCCGCGCAAAACACAACAGTTCCCGTCGCGTCGCCGGTATTGTTTATCAACTGAAAGGTAGAATTGTTACGATATATTAATTGGCGCTGTTGATGCTAGTTATTGCTGTAACTTGGCTTATTACAGCCATCGATGCATTGTTGTTACACTCGTGATTACGAATCTTTATACTGTTAATTCATCATTTTTACCGTTATCTCCGGTATTTAAGTAATTTAATGTAATCTTCATATTTAGTAACAATTAAATTCAATAATTATAAATCTGATTTCGTCGCATAAAAATAATTTCTATTTTGTTCTATGTTGTTCGTTACTGTATAACTGTTACTTTTATATTCTTATTATTATATTCGATTTAACAAGATTTAATAATGAAATATTTATTTTGCAGAAATATTTTACATTTACTTACAAATATAATTTTTTCAAAAAATTTATGCCTAAAAACCGAGTTTCTTGCTTGCGTAACACGAAACTTAAAAGCTTGCCATTTTTAATGTTATTAGTTAATTAGGTTCATGAGTCAAAATACAAAAAAATTAACTGTTGTAAACTTACCGTAGACAATTGCCTTGAGAGCGTCTGGGCGAGTCTCTATTGGACGGTTTCCTGTAAAAATACAAATTGTGATTATTATTTATTATACATTTGCTATTATTATTAAGTTAGTATAATTATAAGTTCTCTTTTTCCCTCTCTTTCTTTCTCTCTCTCTCTCTCTCTTTTTCCATTTGAATTATTTCGTTGTATTTCATATAATAAAAAAAAGTAGAAACGAAAAAATAAATAATTCTCAAAAATTCACTTTTTCCGATTATTTTCAGCGATTATTTTTTTGTTTCTCCACATATAAAATATAAACAAATTGAATAAATTTAAATAATTTACCATATCAAGTTAAATTAATTTAATTTTACACAGATACAATAACGGATATTAATTTATTTTAAATTTAATTTAGAATTAATTCAAATTTAATTGTTAGCCAGCAAAATTTATTTTGAGCTTTTCAATTTTATGTTTGCACATTTTGTATTTCAATTTTATGGTTGCATTTCAAAAAATCAAGTATCGAGATAACTATATATGTAATGAAATATTTAATCGCCAGACAATTTATAAATATTATCAGACAATTTGGAAACACATATTTAATTTTGAATTTATAAACATTATAAAATATGTCATATGTAAATTTAAGCGATAAAATACTTAATAGTATATTCATAATGTCTCAAAAACTTTGATTAGTAATTATATATATACAAATTATATCTATGTACTTCCTAAACCACAACAATTATAGTTTTAAATACAATGACAAAATTATAGTTTATATATTCACATTTTCCGAATAATAAACGCAAATTAAGTGGAAAATAAAGTCTTCATTAATGCGTTAACTTTCAAGAAAATACAGATATAAGTCGTATAAATTCTTTGACGTGATAGTTGATGAAGTGTTAATAAAGTGGTAAAATATGAAAGGATGTATCACACATGGAATTAATGGTTGGTAAAATTGCAACGGTAACACCGTCACGAACATCGCGGAGTTGTTCGTTGGCGTGTTTCCGACGAAGCATAAATCATAACAAGACGTCCATCCGCGAAGACGATTGCCAGGCGGTTTTGCGTCAATTATTCTTGTAGCAACCGTCGCGCGTCGCTTAAAAGCGGTTATTAAACTTTTCCTTCGTCGCACGTTATCGCAATGCGTTCTATATCTTTTGCTGTCATCCATTATCAATATTGAAAGATGACACAAATGAAGAAATATATATTTCACGGAAACGAATTTATTTTAGACAAAATATTACAACATTTACAATAATATTATGAATATTATATGAATATTATGTAAAACTTTGACACAGTATACTTATAAGCACGACGAAAATTTCTGTGTATATTTATAAGGGTAAATGGAAAGTGTTATATTACAAAAGATCGTTTCCATGGAAATTTTAAAAATCAAATTATATATGTGCGGGCTTTACTTAAAATCAACCATTTTATAAAATGTCGAATCTTCATACAAACAGAGTTGTTGTAAAAAAAAAGTTAAAATTTAAAAAATCTATATATGTGTATGTGTTTTTATTTAATTTTTTTTAAATTGTTACACATACAGTTTTCAACTTCAGTTTCTAAATAAGAGAATTTTCTTATATAAGTAAATTGAAAAAATATCTAAAATAAATAAAATTTCTGAAATAACTAAAATAAATAAAATTTTTTAATATTTAATATTTACGTCAAAAATGTCTACTTTTATCAAAAATTATAAGCAAACAATTTAGTTTATATGTTTATATGTTACTATATAATAAAATATAGTAACAAAAAATATTATCATTATTCCTTACAAAACTGAAGTTGAAATTCGGCGCTGTTATATGAAATATTGAATCACATTAAAAAATACTTAGCAAGAGCTTTAAATTGGGCAATAAGAATGTTAGAGAAAAAAGGTCGAAAAAATAAGAGGAATATCAAATCAGCAGCCAAAATCTCACAGATAGTCCATATTCTTACACACACATATGTATATCGTATAAAACCAGGTAATGTGTAAGGTCGATATTTTTCATTTTATTTTTCATTTACCCTTATATTACTATCAAAAATATGTTCCATGAATAGAACGCCAATCTCTGTGAACATACTTCACAAATGCGCAGGTTTATACGTGGAGGTTGAGACGCAGCTAGGTATAAAAGTAAAGTAAACAAAAAACAAGAGAGAAATATACAAGATATTTCAGCTTTAAACTTTCAAGTAACACATTTCGAGTAATTTTCTCCAAAAAATCTCTCTTTATAAAAAAAGGATAACATAAAGGATAACATAAAGGATTTTAAAGGATAACAAACAGGAGAAAAAATATATCGCAATTGCAGACAAATCGATTAAAAATAAAAATAATTCTTTCACAAGAAATGTCCTTAAAAAACGATGCAGTACACGCAAATTTGACAAATACAATGTAGAATATAGAGCGTTAAACGACAACAAACCGGCGTCAATGACCGATATGATACAATATTCGAATTTACAGATATCTATGACCACGTGTCACGTGGTACCGACAGTCACTGACATAAAAGCCACCGAAAAATCTCTCGTCACGTATCCTGCTGCGGTTCAATATTGAAAAGCTAACGCGGACCGTAAAGAATCCTCAATGTTTCTTTGACTCGCGACAGGTTTATGGGGAGTCAAACGCGGTTACGTAGCAGCCGGAATTCGTTAAATATTAAATATCGACCGCTGGCTGTTCGTCGCGCACACATTAATAAATTTCAAATTACATATATCAACGTTTCGCCGGTGCTCATACAGCGTTCATCATTGATATGTGTTTCAGAACCTCGTTAATAATGAAGAGCCCGAAACTGAGAACGATCCCACCACTCCTTTCTAACATTGCAATTTTACCCGGTCGCGGATATTTCTTAGCTATATCATGTCATTTAGACAACCGTAATAACGGAGGTCCTTTGTGTTCAACGTTGTACGTTGGAAATGAAAGCTAGAGAGTTAATATTAAATTCCTCCTGGTAGGATACATGTAGCTTATATCTTGTGCTTATTCATGGTTACGTAATTATAGGATAACATAATTCATTATTAAATTACATATAATAATGACAAATATTACAATAACTATGGAATGATAGAGGGATTATATAATTATTTCTGGTAATTTTTAAAGTCGCAAGACTATATGCGATATTTCTTTTGCTTAAGTGTATCTATCTGATCTATTTATATTCGTTATATTAATTTATAGAAAAATAATATTAAATTTGTCGCGAGAAATAAAATTATCCTCTTGTCCTATTTTGCGCGCAACCTTGTTATCATGTTTCTAGCGCTCGCTATGCTAGAACAATCGCGGTAGGTAAACTGTAGACGAAACTTGACAAGGAGAGACAAAAGGATGTCTATCGTACTTTTCTTCGAAAGCTTCGAGCTCTGGATCCTTCTCTCCTGGGTCTTGAGGTATCTACGAGCTCCCTGACAATTTCAGACTCTCCATCGACTGAAACTGAATTACCCAAACAAAATTTCCGTTGAAATCCCTAGAATATTCACTTCAGGAGACGGTCAAAATATCGTGAATTAGCTCGCGTGTTCGGTAAGTGTGGATATTTTTTAAAATAATATTATCAATTCAACGCATATACATGTGTGTGCTTTAAGCAAGTAAATGTTGTTATTAATATAAATTTGAATGTGAAGAAATGTCTTCTAGATTAAATACATTATTGTAAAAATATAATATATGTATAATTATCTATTAATCTGTAAAATTTTCTATTTTTCAAATTGCATCGAATGCTTGCCCCGTTTGATCGAATTTCTCACCTTGCTCATTTCCAGTTTATCTCTGCGTTCGCGTAGTATCCGTGTAAATAGCGGTAATGTTAATCTCCGGTTAATGCTATGAGATCCGACGCTGGTAGATGTCGAACGGAGGAATTTATCGATTCCTCCGTTTGAGTCTGTTCAAATAATAACAAAGCGGAAATTCGCCCTTTAAACTATCCCGTCGTAACGAGAGCGGAACATAGAAATAGGAGCGAGGAAAATAGAAAAGGAGAGAGAAGTTATAGATAGAGATATATGCATGTATGTGCATAGAAAGAAAGAGAGAGAGAGGGAAGGAGAGAGGGGGGAGAATCACACAGGTAATTTATTGCGACCTTTCAGCTCGCTAATGCACCTGAAGGTACAAAATACCTGACCAGCTTCCTACACATGTCCTGTCTATTGTTCGAATTCTAAGCGTACCAGAACGTAATAAAAGAGCTTACTTTACAATCATATGTCATGCCTTAATTCTTTATGGAATATAATTTTGTTCAAAGCATGCATACATAATATTTTGCCAAGAAATCAATTTACGAGTAACAATGTAATATTTTATAAATATTATAAAATAATGTATTAATAAGATTAAATAGTATATAAATATTAAATATTATATTTAATTTTTTAACTAAAAAGATATGTATTTTACACTTTTTACTGGTTTCAATAACATATTAATGATTATAAATGAGGTCTATTTGTTAGTAATAGTATCTTATTAGTTTCTTTAATTCCTGTAATCAGTGTAATTGGATCAGAGATTGTTACTTTATTATTACAAGCTTGCAGAGAATGCTACTTTATTATTACGAGCCGAAGTCATTGCGATCTATTGTGCTGTATTTATCTAGCTGTTTACGTTTATTCGCGGTCCAAGAAAATATACGGTCAAACTACACGTGATATTATATTTCAAAAGCACAATAATATGAATCCGACATATTTTATAAGCAATCAGAAAAATTTTTTAAACTACAGTCGAAATCATCTTTTTTTTTTTAGAATTTTACAAATTCATTTGATTCATTTGATTCTTTTTTAATACGTTATATTAAATATATTTAAAATAAATTCTTTGGATGCTCAAAAGCTTTGTAAATTTTCAGAATAATTTTTATCTTTCTACCGATCGTTTCAACAACTCGATTCAATATTCGCGAATAAGGCCATCGTAGATCTTTCGTGAATACTGATCGACTCTCGATGGGATGAAAAAGCTTCTTGATGAA